TTTACTTTTTGTGAAGTTTTTTGACTGCATTTTTGGTAAAAGCTTCTCAGATCATGATTTCATGTGATATGGACCCAAAAACAATCAGTGCACACATAAGTATACACACAGACACACACAGACATACAAACACATATAATTGACCTTGACCTAACTTGACCTGAAATGACCTCAGCAGCAAAATTTTGGTCGGATAGTGTGACAAAGAGGTTCTAGCTGGCTTGGCACCAGAAAACAGCATCGTCATCGGTATTTGATAAGCAGCTCACTTGATATCCAACGGTGACCCAAAACAGCAACATTTTTTAGTTTGACCTGACCTGGAAGGTCAATGACTGACCTGAGAAGGTAAAACTGGGTATCATTGGATTCGTCTCTTCCCAAAGAATCTTTTTGGTCTTTATTGCTAAGCTCTATCTCCAACAGGAACGAAATGGCGCGGGGGTGGTGGCAACCACCCCCCCCCCCCCCATGTGCGTTCTAGGATGGGAAAATGGCATGTGCGGGCGAGGGTTAACATTCAACAGGAGGGACTAGGGAACCAATGGGTAAGAGGGCGCCATGCAATGGCTAGAAGGGTGGCACTCAACAAGAGGGTGCCAAAAGGGGGGAGGGCGGCCATCAAAATTTCACGAGAGCGCAATAGGTGGGAGGGCGCCAATAATTATGAGGGTGCCGACCAGCAGAAGGGCGCCATTGTGTAGGGCAGGGTGGCGACCTACAGGAGGGCGCCTTCGGGTGAGAGGTTGCCTATTTACAGGAGAGCGCCAATAGGTAGGAGTACAACGATCAAATGAGGGCGCCAGTGGGTAGGAGGGCAGCGATCAACAGGCTTACATAGGCGGCTACCGCTACGCTTAGAAAGCTACAGCCTACAAATGCGATTGGAGGGCGCCCAAGGGAGCCCTCCAATCGTATTTGGAGGGTGTATTTGGAATGGCGCCCTCCGAGGGCGCCCTCCAACCGTATTTTCCCTGCAAACACATTCGCGATTGGGCGCCCTCCAGTCGCGATTGTTTTTCGATTCGATTCTATCACAACTGCATTTGCGATTGCGCCCTCCAATCGCAAAGGGCGCCTTCGGCGCCCAAGGGGGGCCATGGCCCAGTGGCCCCCCCTGCCTACGCCCCTGTTGGAATATGGGAAGCCTAAGATGTTTAATGAAAAATAAATGCCAGAACCGTGTTCCTGCAGCCATCCAATCTATAAAGTCGGGCACAATTTAACTGGTTTTAACCCTATTAGTGGCAGGCTCCTGGCTACCCCATATTAGTGGCAGGGGGGGGGGGCTGTTTACGACCCCCCCTTGATATCTCGAGATCTAACCGGCCGATTTTAAAAATTCAAACGGCATTCGATTTGGCTCAACGAGATCAACATTTCTAAAAAAAAAATTAAAAATGTCAATAGGGGGTAGAGGGGGGTAAAAACGGGCAAATTGCAGATACATTTTATACTGTTTATCACGGCCAGGTTTCTGAACCAATCTTAAAGGGACTATCCCACCTTCTAAAATGTTGTTAAAACCAGTTAAATTGTGCCCGACTTTATAGATTGGATGACCAGGAACACGGTTCTGGCATTTATTTTTCATTAAACATCTTAGGCTTCCCATATTCCAAACACAAACTTTCAAATATGTGACGTCACAGCCCAAAATTACCTCCTTCCCCAGGCCACATTACTGTCACAAAGCTGATTCTTTTTACTCTGTAGGCACCACAACAAAGTTCAGACCAAGTTTTAAGCGATTTTTCAACGAACAAACCCATTTAAATCAGAATGACTAAACGAGGTGACGTCACACTAACGGTCGCTCCATGTTGAAGATAGGGCCTTGTACAAGGCCCATTTTCAAATGAAGGGAACGAATTTCTTCAACACCAAGAGGCCGCGGGGGTTGCAACCTAGATAGATAGTGGTTTCTGAACCTCGCCGCAAACTTGGCTATCTCAACTCAAACCCCATGTTAAAGGTGGGATAGTCCCTTTAACGCAATTTTTGCCGATCGATAGAGAATGAACCAGGAATTCACATGGATCCTAAAAATATGCATTTTCAAAAATCATAGGCGGATACAGATCATTGAGATTGGGGGTACACAAAAAGTATAGTAAATAAGGTTTTTGTTGATACTGTTTCTAAAAAGGGTGGCAGTGGTCTTGTTATGTTACAATTTTCTTATGAGAGAACGACTAAAATTTTATTGGTCATGCATAGGCGGTGTCAGGGCACCTATGTTGGGAGGTAAAAAATAACCCCCCTTTTTGGACGCCTGGATCCGCCTATTATAGCAAAAACGTGTCAAAAGAGGGTGCACAATAACTTTGTACCTATATGTTATCACATGATATACCTTTCATTCACTGTTCGTAAAACTGGTGCAGCATTGTGATCTTCGCCCAAATGACTCGCTTCACGAATAGGACCCCCCAATTCCCAGTGCTCTGGAGCCGCCCCTGGTAAAGTTATGAACTTGAAATTTTCAGGGAATGTGCCCAATTTAGTTTTAGGAAAAGTCAGAAAATTTCAGCATCGTAGCTTTAGCGGTTTCGGAGATATTCCCGAAAAACCTGAGGGGTGGATAAAAACAACCCCCCCTGCCACTAATAGGGTTAACAACATTTTAGAAGGTGGGATAGTTCCTTTAACTCTCGCCGGCACAAGGGGGGGGGCGGCGTTGATGCAACCATGCAAACCCCCTAAGGTTTTTCGCAAATAACTCACGTAAAAAGCGGCCGATCGCGACGAAACTTTTCGTTACCTCGCATTGATTAATTTCATACCTACTCTTAAAATGTATTGACCCTGACCCCAATGACCTATTGCCTGTGACCTATTTTCAGAGGCCATGTTTGGCCGAAATCGCGATGTTGCGAATGTCAGCTTGCATTAGCCGCGCGTTTGCAGTCTTTTCGTGGTTTCAAGCGTTCAAATATGTGATTTGATGTTGCTCCTAAGGGTGGATGTCAAGGTCACCCGAAGACCAGGTCAGGTCACTGACCTATGATGACCTCGGTCCACTTTTTCGAATTTTACATGTTTCTAGGCTAGTTTTTTTTAGCTGAATTCGTATTTAGGAACCATTTGAACATTTACGAAGTAGTTTTGGTGCCTTCGTAACATGCTACGAAGCTGTCAGAGGCGGTTGACACATACTACGAATACCCGACACGACCCCTACTGGTTGACCTGACCTGACCTAACCTGACCTGACCCGACCTGGCCTAAAAACATACTCGAAAAGAAATCATCTGTGATGAAAACTAACATGATATTCGTGATTAGCACCCCGAAAAACCCATAGCAGCCACACATTACAACGTTCTAACAGGTCCCGATTATCCCGACTTTTGGGTCATTGACCTGACCTGGAAGGTCACCCGATGACCTAGGACATTTAACCCTAGAACGCCTAGGGGGGGGGTTGTATCAACCCCCCCCCCTGAGGTTTTTTCAAAGTGCACGCTAAACGGCTTGTCGTAGCGGGCTGAAATTTTCAATACCCTCTGGGGCAACCTTTGCGCATCTTTTGCCGAAAAAAAATTGATCGGGTCATGTCAGGTCACGGAGTTATGACGTCATAAGAGGTACAGCCTCCGGCCGGATTTTCACAAACTGAGTGCCAACGCCCGAGGTTTCCTGCCGGTGGTACGAACATCGGTTGATGGATCGTGATGAAACTTCCCATGCATGTTGGGGCAAGTATTGGCTATCATATGGTATAAGAAATTTGACCGGGTCAGGTCAGGTCACGGAGCTATGACGTCACAAGAGGAACAGCGTCCGGTACTATTTTTTGAAAAGTGCCCGAACCACTATTTTGCTAATTCTTGTCACCTCAATGGGAATATGCAGCAATATTAGCTTCTATAGGGAGCAAATGGACCTCCCAAATCCAAAAATACAATCAGATTTCAAAAATTTAAATTTTGATTTTTCGAATTTCTGCCGCCGACTGTGACCTTGCCGACTTCCGGCGCTCCCAACGCGCCATTTTTAGAGCTAGGGAAACGAAATACATACCAAACGATAGAGAATTGATCAAGGAACACGATAGTGAAGGTTTCAAGTCGATATCTCCCACCGTTTTGCCGCAATCGCCGCCGAAAGTTGAAAAAAGTCTATTTTTCCGAAAATTTGACCTTTGACCGGTCAAAAGTAGGTCAAATGTTGACCTAGGACCAAAAAATATACCACCAATCGCGAGATCTCGTTGAGAGCAATCCGTTGGTTTTTTCCGCTAAGCTCTACGACCTTCCGTTTCGAAACGCCAGGGGGGGGGGTCGTAACAACCCCCCCCCCTGGTCGTTCGTGTTATGAGAAATGGCCTGGTCGTGCGAGGGTTAAATCGGGTATCATCTCGTCACGGGCAACACGCTCGCCTTTGCTGCGAAGCTCTAGCTCAATCACGGGCCGAACGCGATGGGGGTTGTACAAGCCCCCCCCCCCCCGCTGTGCAGTCGAAGGACGCAAAATGGCCTGTGCCGGCGAGGGTTAAACGTTTTTCTGTATCTTCAAAGCTAAAGACCTGACAGTTCTTCCCGCGAAACCTTTTTTTGTCGAAAACGGCAGAACATAACGTCACTTTGACGTCATTTTCGGCCAACCTTTCATAGCCCATGGAAAAAAATTTGGTCACAATGTGTAAAATTGATGTCCGGGAGGGTACTTAAAGTTTGGTTAGGATCGGTGCAGCGGTTCTGGAGATACATCTAACAGTCTGGAGGGGGGGGGGGGCAAAAAATAGCCCCCCAGGGCGGGTGTTACCACTGTGTTTTTAACTTTGGAACATAAAATATCGGTTTCTGTTTTCTTACCCTGATGCTTTATCGAATATATTATTATTTTCCTGGTTACCTGACGTGTTTTTTTTTTAATGAAAAGAGAAAACTGGTCAGTTTCGCTTCGTTAGGTACAGCCGCTATGGTAGGTAATGTTTACCCTGACGGACAATGCTTTAGCTGATGGGCTCAGCCACCGGCAAATAAAAGAGCTCACTCACTTGTCCATTTTTAATGAAACGTCCTTACATAAGCATGGTTATTCCATAAAAATGATGTTGCATCACATGTATGTAAGTACACGGAAGCCAAAGTTCCACCGACAAAAAGCTCTATTGTATACTCTAGTGTGGAACATACCTCACGTTGTTTTTCTGAAACGCGAGTTACAGCTGCATAATAAAAAATGAACGTTAAGTGAATTAGTGAAATAAAACGTTTAAACACTTCAATATCATGGTGTTATCACGTGCACGGAGAAGCGCACCACCCCTCCGCGTCTTCAGCGCCGTTGCACAGCTCGTCATCCGGCCTCTGGCTGTCTCTCACTTTCCGTCCCTATCCACCTTGAGCGGCACGGTCTTCTCGGGCCGGTCCGGCTGCTGGGGGCACTTCCTGGGCGCGGTGATGGTGAGCACGCCCTCCTTGCTCAGGTGGGAGACCACGCCGTCCTCGTCCACGTCCTCAGGCAGCTCGTACTTCCGGGTGAACTGGCGTGCCACCGAGCCGTGCTCGTCCCGCTTCTCCTCGTGCTTGGCCTCGACCACCACCAGGCCGTCGACGATCTTCACCTTGAGCTCCTCGGGCAAAAAGTGCTGCACGTCCAGCCGCATCTCCACGCGGTCCTTGTGCGACGTGATCTCTGAGGTGCCCGAGTTCTGCCTGCGGAACAGGGCAGGGGTGGTCAAAAAGGATGAAAGCCGAAAGGTACAACAAACTAGTACTGTATCGGGCAGAGAAGAGCTGGTGTAGCTTCAGAGATACCCGAGTTATCTAATGTGATGCCGCCGGCCCGCCATATTTAGTGTAATACAGTCTACACTTTTCATACGGCTCTCTATACTCGAACCTCAAATTCAACATTGAATTTATCCATCTAGCCAGAGCGGCCCCCGTTTGGAGCGGCCCACCTGTGCAGGACGACGGGCGCCCTGGAGGCGTATCGGCGGCTGGAGACGGCCGGCAGGTAGTCGTCCACCAGCGGCCGCCGCGGCACGCCCATGCCGAAGTGTTGGTCGAACATGCGCGGCGATCGGTGGCGGCTGAAGTCGCGCAGCGCGTCGTCGAAAAAGGGGTCGTCGAAGTAGAGTGGCACCGACATGGCTCCGACCTGCCGAGAGGCGCTATTCAGGGTGTGTCCGGTGCACCGACAGGTCATGGTTGAAGGAGGGGTTCAGCATCACGCAGCGAGGCAACAGACTTACTAGACGCAGTGGAAATTAGTGCTGACTGAAGATCCGGGAGTTAACCCTCGCCCTGGCAGGGGGGGGGGGGGCGGGTCGATGCGACCCCCCCTAAGGTTTTTCGAAGATAGCGTAAGCGCGCAGCGCCGCCAAATTTGGCACAGCCTATGGGGCAACCTTTTTACATGTGACCTGAAAATTTCAGGTCCGGGTGACCTTGGGTCAGGTCACCAGGTCAGAAAAACCGGTACATGGTCATGGTCAAATTTCAATTTTCTTTTCGCACCTGTCCAACTCACAGTTTTGGACTGATTTCCTTCAAACTTTCAGGATGTACTAAGTTCACCGAGTTGTATAACATATAGTTCGGGTTTTTTTTTTTAGGAAATTGACCTGAGGTCAGTCAGAGGTCATTACGTCGTAATGTTAAGTCTATGGGAAAATACTAAATTCGGAAAATACTGAAGATATCCGCTTCGTTCTATCACTTTTGTGCTTTGAAACCACAGTACTTAACAGCAGGTCACTTGGTGCTTCTTTGTTTGGTGCACTTATCCATGGGTCAGGTCAAATGAGGTCAACTGAGGTCAAATGACGTTTTTGCCAATAACTTGGCATATAATGACGCTAGAGCTTAAAGGAAAAGTGCCACCTTCGTGAAATATGAAGATATCGTTGCTTTTCATTTTGACATTATTATTTTTCATGTTCTTTTTAAATCTGGTGCCAGAAGTGCATAATTCGCAAAAAAGTATGTCAAAACATTTAACATATTGGTACTATGTTTGTACTCTCTACCGCACCTTCTGTATGATGTCATAGCGATGACATCACACTCAAGCCAATCAGCCTTCAGAAGACAGTCTCGTCGGCTTGTGTCAGATTAGCTGATTGGTTAAAGCTGAGCTGATTGGAGCTGATTGGTTAAAAACCAAAGCCTCGCCGCGGGTGGCTGTATTACAGGATAAGAACGCATTCCTGGGATAAGGACGCATTCCTGGCATATTTTCTTTTAAAATTGCCGATACCTACAAATGGAGGCCGAAATCGGCCGTAAGGTGGGACACTCTCGAGGTCTTCGGACACGGGCTACAAGATGGCCATCTCAGTTTCAAACCCCATGTTAAAGGTGACCCTTTTCCTTTAAAAATGGTATCATTGTGTTCCTGGTGATCAGCCGAATCGAATGATATGCGATATGATGCAATTTGGTTAACTTGAACCTAATTTATTAATTTAAGTTTACTTAAAATTTAAGAAAAACTTTAAGTACACTTAAGCAAGCTAAAAAGTATATCACTCGACGCGCCTTGACGTGCTGAGTTCACTGGTCCTTTTCTTTTTGCTCTATCTTAATTAGATCAAAAGGTATAAGCGAAAAACTTTTGACCTGTTTTTAGCGAAATTTTTACATTTATACCCCCAAAACCCCCCTAAATATTGACCCAGAGCAACCAAATTTGCACAGGGGCGAGAACTCCAGGGGGCCCACCTACCTACCAAATTTGGTGTTTCTAAGTGCTATAGGAGCCAATCGCGAGGGGGGGGGGTCGCATCGACCCCCCCCCTGCCAGGCCGTGTTATGAAAAATGCCCTGCCAGGGCGAGGGTTAAACGGGAAGATAAGTCAGATATGTAGCCAGATGCGCGGCGGGTGACAAAGGGAGAAGACAGTCTATATAAGGGTAAGGATGCTTTTAACCCTAAAGAGCAAGGGACTCAGCATTGACAGCTTAGCAGCACACGATATTTTCGATTTTCTTACGATGCATCTGATGCCGATGACTAGTTTATTTGTCTAGTTATAACATCCGTACATTAAAAAAAAACATGTTTTTCAATAATTTTTACGAAAACTTGTGCGGAAGCTTTGTTTTGAAGTACAAAAAATTGGTAAGTGCAATTAAAGAAAGACACACAAACACAAATGCGTTCCTTGGAAATATACGCATAAGACATTAGCGTGGAGGCAAACTATTGAAACCCGTCCAAACTAAGCGTGGAGGCAAACTATGAAACCCGTTTAACCACGATTACCTACGATAATCCGACGTGAGTTTTGCGGCATGCATAGTACAAACTCGTCCCTACAACAAATCATTCGGAGCAATCGTCGCACACCTAATCGGAATGTGTTTGACATCTCCAGGCACGCCCAGCGCGCTCCCTCACCTAATGTCACGATGACCCGCAGCTGGCGGCACCGTCCCTGCTGCCTTCCAGCGCCGTCTGACCCCGGACTGACGGCGCCCGCCGGCTCACGGCTCACCGTCGGCAGGACGGAACGGGAGCGTTCGACGCGGCGAGATGAGTCACGCGTCGCTCTCGACGCCGGGCAGCGCCAGTGTCGTCATCAACGCGCCGCCGCCGCTTGTGCCCCGCAGCCAGAGCCGCCGTGCAGCCAAGGATGCGCGCCCGAATTAGAGGAGGGATGACGTGTCGAACGAGTGGGCAGGTCAGACGATGCAGCAGCTGCTTTCAAAGTTCCAGGATGCCGTCAGCCGTGCGTCAGGTTAAATATGGAATGGGTGAATGCTGAACAGGCTTCTCCCGCACTGCCTATCGTGCCGAGCAGGTGCCGACTTACCGGCACCCGCCTGTGTTCAATGTCCCCGCGCACCGACGGAGGGGGGATATGTCCCCTTCCCTGAGCTTTTTCGTAAATAGCGGAGCTAGCGAAATTTTGCATGGTCTTTTCCCCATCAGTTTTACACATTGTGTGCAAGTTTAGATCTCTATCTTTCAAGGTCGAGTCACCAGGTCACTTCAAATGACCCAACCTCAAATCACTTTTTGCAGCTTTGTCACCGTTTCCAAATCGGACCATTAGTTCGGGAGATAACAGGGGGGGGGGGGGTAAAATTTACCCACCCCCAGCCCCGCGCGTTCGGCTGGAAACCCCAGCCCCGCGCGGGTTAAACGTTTTCTTTCGTTGCACTTTTACAAGCATACGGACACATGTAAAGTTATTTATCTGGGCAGAAAACATCGCGATTTATATCTACATTTATTATTTATCCAGCCTGATTAACCCGCGCATGACTGGGGTATTTTCCATAACGCGAGAGCCCCCCTCCTATCTCCGAAACTACTAGGCTGATCGTCAAAATTCAAACGGCGTCTGATAGCCCTGGAAAAACTGTCGAGCGAAACCTATTTTCATTGACCTTGAGGTCACCGATGACGTCACAGGTCAGGTCAAAGTAAAAATTATCGACATTTTTGCTAGTTCACAATTTGGGCTCTGACCGCCGGCTTACAAGTCCGATCAGGCTCATTTTTGGTTTACGCACTCCTTGATAGATGCCCTAGATACCTACCCTGAGGGTAACGAACTTTTACTTCGAATTTTTAAAGTCAAGGTCAGGTCATCTTAGGTCACGAAAATTGTATATCATGTATCGGTCACGTGACGCATGTTTTTATAGTCTATAGACATCTTTTTTGTTGAAAAATTTCATTTTCCAAATTTGACCTTTTCTTACCTGAAATTGACCTGACCTCCGGTAAATTCGGCTGAAAATAACCTCAAATGACACGGACGACATTATTTTTGAAATCTACGTGTGAAATGGACCTTGAGAGCGTTTGCGGTAATTTAGTATTTCGCATCAAAATCGCCCGACATGACGTCACTCTGACGTCATTTACGGCCAAACTATGAAAGCAAGAAAGTTGAAATTTTAACCTTCCAGGCGGTGGGGGGGGCATTTTTTTGCCCCCCCCCTTTACTTTTTTCGATATATCTCGAGAACCGCTGCGCCGATCGTCACCAAACTTTCAGTACCCTCCCGGGAGTAGCTAGCGCACATGGTGACCAAAAAATTTTTTCCAAAGGCTATGATAGGTTGGCCGCTAATGACGTAAGAGTGACGTCATTTTTGCCATTTTCGACCCAAAAAAAGGTTTCGCGGGAAGAGCTGTCAGGCCTACAGCTTTAGAGATACAGAAAAATCTTTTTGACATAAAAGGTGTGGAATCAAAAGGGCTACAAAACTGCTATTTCGGTTTTTTTCGAATTTTTTGGATTTTGACCCCCAGAAATAAAAAAATAGATTTTTTGAATATAATAGCCAAAAAATTCCAAAAAGTTTTTTGAATTTCGAAAAAACCGGAATATATGTGATAGTCCCTACCGCCTTCTATCTACATACAAAATTTGAGATCGATACCTCGTTTTTTGGCCAAGTTATAGCGAAAAAACTGTTCAAAATTGATGACGTCAAATTTTCAAACTCAATTTTTAGCAATTCTAGACCTCGTAGCGCAAAACAAAGACCACCATTAGACTCCCCGTGACGAGTTGCATCGAATCGATACCCATTTTATGCAAAAATATCAACTTTGAAATTTGACCTTTTTTGACCTGACCTTGACCTGACCTCCACCAGAAAGTGACCTAAACCGTACCTGATGGTCTTATAACCAACACCATTGAGTTGGAAATGAAAAACTGGCCATAAAACATGCATCACATAACCTTAGTAAAGTTGGGCTCATGTGGTGACCCTTGGTGACCTTTGGTGACCTGACCTGTGACCTGACCTGGTATGACCAGTGACCTCTAATAGCAACATATGTACTAGAAAACTGACGCCTTATCGCTGATTTTCGACAAAATGCGTTTTACTCGGTGTTATAGCGCTTTCCCTAGAAGCCCTGTGAACGGTGAAACATTTTATCTTTGACCTGACCTGTGACGTCATCGGTGACCCCGAGGTCAATGAAATTTGGTTTACCTCGACAAATTTGACAGGGCTATCGAACACCGTTTGAATTTTCCGGATCCGTCCAGTAGTTTCGGAGATACGGGGGGAGGCAAAAAAGTGCCCCCCCCCACCGCGTGGAAGGTGGCTGGTAGGCCCACCGCCTGCCGGGTTAACACATGGTGTCAAATTAATGCTGCTGAGGGTACTGTAAGATTTGTGTAGATCCGTGAAATGGTTTAAAAGATGTTGCCGAAAAACGGGAGGGGGCTCTTAACCCGGCAGGCGGTGGGCCTACCAGCCACCTTCCGCGCGGTGGGGGGGGCATTTTTTTGCCCCCCCCCCGTATCTCCGAAACTACTGGACAAATCCGGAAAATTCAAACGGCGTTCGATAGCCCTGTCAAATTTGTTAAAGAAAACCAAATTTCATTGACCTCGGGGTCACCGATGACGTCACAGGTCAGGTCAAAGATAAAATGTTTCACCGTTCACGGGGCTTCTAGGGAAAGCGCTATAACACCGAGTAAAACGCATTTTGTCGAAAATCAGCGATAAGGCGTCAGTTGTCTAGAACATATGTTGCTATTAGAGGTCATTGGTCATACCAGGTTAGGTCACAGGTCAGGTCACCAAAGGTCATTAAGGGTCACCACATGAGCCCAACTTTACTAAGGTTATTCGATGCATGTTTTATGGCCAGCTTTTCATTTCCAACTCAATGGTGTTGGTTATAAGACCATCAGGTACGGTTTAGGTCACTTTCTGGTGGAGGTCAGGTCAAGGTCAGGTCAAAAAGTCAAATTTCAAAGTTGATATTTTTCCATAAAATGGGTATTGATTCGATGCAGCTCGTCACGGGGAGTCTAATGTTGGTCTTTTTTTCTGCTACGAGGTCTAGAATTGCTAAAAATTGAGTTGGCAAATTTGACGTCATCAAATTTAAACAGTTTTTTTGCTATAACTTGGCCCAAAAAAGAGGTATCGATCTCAAATTTGGTATGTAGATAAGGCGGTAGGGATTATCACATATATTGCGGTTTTTTCGAATTTCAAAAAACTTTTTGGATTTTTAGGCTATTATGTTCAAAAAATCTATTTTTTTTGGGGGGGGGGGTCAAAATAAAAAAAATAGAAAACCGAAATAGCAGTTTTGTAGCCCTTTTGATTCCACACCTTTTATAACTGAAACATTTTTCTGTATCTCTAAAGCTGTAGGCCTGACAGCTCTTCCCGCGAAACCTTTTTTTGGGTCGAAAATGGCAAAAATGATGTCACTCTGACGTCATTAGCGGCCAACCTATCATAGCATTTGGAAAATTTTTTGGTCACCATGTGCGCTAGCTGCTCCCGGGAGGGTACTGAAAGTTTGGTGACGATCGGCGCAGCGGTTCTCGAGATATATGGAAAAAACTTAACCCTCGCCCGCACATGCCATTTTCCCATCCTAGAACGCACATGGGGGGGGGGTGGTTGCCACCCCCCCCCCCCCCCGCGCCATTTCGTTCCTGTTGGAGATAGAGCTTAGCAGTAAAGACCAAAAAGATTCTTTGGGAAGAGACGAATCCAATGATACCCAGTTTTACCTTCTCAGGTCAGTCATTGACCTTCCAGGTCAGGTCAAACTAAAAAATGTTGCTGTTTTGGGTCACCGTTGGATATCAAGTGCGCTGCTTATCAAATACCGATGACGATGCTGTTTTCTGGTGCCAAGCCAGCTAGAACCTCTTTGTCACACTACCCGACCAGAATTTTGCTGCTGAGGTCATTTCAGGTCAAGTTAGGTCAAGGTCAATTATATGTGTTTGTATGTCTGTGTGTGTCTGTGTGTATACTGATGTGTGCATCGATTGTTTTTGGGTCCATATTACATGAAATCATGATCTGAGAAGCTTTTACCAAAAATGCAGTCAAAAAACTTCACAAAAAGTAAATTCAGCTTGCCTAAAACGCAATTATCTTAGATGACCTAGGTTGACCTTGACCCTGACCTTGACCCCTGTACATCGTCGAACAACATGTTCCATGATATGTGGGAGGTAAGACTGGCAAAAAAGGCCGAAATCAGGGTGTCAAAAGCTCACAAGGCCCATGGCAAGCGCAAGATGATGAGAATTGGCCATTTGGGTCATGACATGACCTAAAATACAAGGTCATATCTCCGAAACCAAAAATCACAGAAACTGGAAATTTTCAGTGGACATCAAGAAAGGATAGAGGAGCAGCTATACGAAAAATCAGCCTTCTAGCTCTAAAAATGTTGAGTGCAGAGCAGAAAGACTACCTGGGGGGGGGGGGGGTGGCAACCACCCCCCCATGTGCGGGCGAGGGTTAAGGGGGGGGGGCAAAAAATGCCCCCCCCCCATCGTCTGGAAGGTTAAAATATAGAGCATATTATCTTTTATGAAAAATGTCCGTGAAGTTAGCGTCAGCAACAGCAACGAATACAGCGTCGGATTCAGAATCGCTTAAAAAACTCATATTTGGTCAATTGGGGGACGGGGAGCAAGAATATGAACTTTATTTGGCCCTAGCTCTTACCCCTTACCCCTTAATCGGCCCTTAAAGGAAGGGGCGCGTCAAAAGTGCCTCAAGGGTTCGTCTGATCGCCAAAATAAGGGTCGCAATCGATTCCCCGTGTCAATATCTAGCCGCAGCCTCGGGTTCCAGATGTGTGCAACTTACCCATTACCCCTTAATCGGCCCTTAAAGGAAGGGGCGCGTCAAAAGTGCCTCAAGGGTTCGTCTGATCGCCAAAATAAGGGTCGCAATCGATTCCCCGGGTCAATATCTAACCGCAGCCTTGGGTT